TTCTGATTTTGGTCTAACTGTTTCTGCAGTCACAGGATTTTACTGTCATAATGTTGAGTCTGTCCTTCTCATATGACAAACCTGAAGTGAAGTTTGACTTTTGTTGAGTTGAGCATTAAGGTGACAGACAGGTATCAAATAAATACCAAAAACTGTTACATGGACTGTTAAGCACCGTTCAGTTAATTGTAGCTAGCATTAATATATAATTTGTACTGTATCTGTTAGTTTCTTTAATGAGTCATCTATTGCCACAGGGCAGGGCAGGGCTGGGATTCCTCGCTATTTACTAAAGCCTGCTTACCTTACTGAAGATTAAATGTTTACGCTGTCATTATAGTATTGTAATTGAACAGTGGGTTCTGACAACACTGATGCAGTTTACATGACTCTATGCTGGCTGTAGATTAGTTCTATTTGTGGTGGCTCTTATCTTGCAGTAATATAGTAGTGGCAGATAAAAAAAAGTTTTAAAAAGTAAAATAGTAGCAGAAACACATCCAACATACTGAAAAATCTGCCTTATATGAGACCATTAACATTGCATAGCAGAACAGCGGCTCAGTTGTCATTATTCATGTCTTAAGCTGGTACACTGGTAGATTTTGAAACGGAAAAATGTGTTTTTGGAAAAAGATTGACAATCATTTTCGACCCTAGTGGCAAATAAAAGGGAAGGAGCAGGGTGGAAATTTTTTCCAAAACAAACTTCTAACAGTGAATGTGGTTTTTACCCACATTCATTCATTCAAAAATCGAATGTTAAAATCAAACAAACTTTGAACAGCATTCTACAAGTTTCTCATGGCATTTTTGTATGTTCTGACAAGATTTTTCATATGAAAGTTCATTTGAAAATCTACCAGTGTATGGTCAACTTTGCAGTGCTAGGTTCCTGCTGACAAGGGTCATACTTGCATTCGGTTTGCGTGGGTTTCCCATGGATGCTGCAGTTTTTACTGCCATTCAAAAACGTATGTGCAAGTTAACTGACTTCCACACAAATGAGCCCAGCTGCGTGTGGCAGTAGTTATGTGACTGTGTTTGGAAGATGTATTTGCTGCCTCCTCTGAGGAAGAGACTAATGTACACTTCTGTGTGCTGTGAAAGTTCCATGCAGTCTGCCAGTACCTTAAAGCTATGGCTATTAAATACCAGAAAATACAAAATCATTAATTGAACTGCATATGATCACAGCATCTGTTTGGTACGCTGCTTATTTAGAGAATTCTCAGATATCATATCTTGCAAAATTTCAGAAAAAAAAAATCTGCATCAGTATGTCTACAGCTGGTAGATCCTCTGATGCCCAACATGTAGCCCATGGGCCACATGCAACCCTTTGGCACGTACTATGCAGCCCTTTACAGGCCCTAGCAGTCAGTAGTGGGAATATGGAAATAGTGGGAATATTCATAGCAAAAGAAGCTGTGATATCAGTAATCTCCAGCAGTCCCATGTAGCAAGTGCCTAGTTTCTAAATGTCTCCTGCAATGTGTTTTCAATCTCCAACCACACCTGTTGGGTGTCTACTGTCTCTTCTAATATGTTTAAAGCCTGACACTCTTCGGTTATATACTGAATATTATATATGGCCTTTTGGAGAGGTTAGGGTCACAGTTGAGGCCCCCTATACCTCATAAATTCACAACCACTGCTTTAATCAGTGAGTTCTACAAATTTTACCGACAAACATGTAAAAGATTGACAAATCTAAAACATTTTCATTATTTATTTTGATTCTTCTATTTCTTACTTTGAAACAATTGATGCAAACCTCATTTAAAATGGACACATGATCCAACTGTACAGATGCTTCTATAACTGCGGTGTAAAATCTTGTCATGTCTGACAGTTATTAACCCCTTCATGACTGAGGCCTTTTTTTCATTTTTTGTACCCATGTTATATACATGAAAAGCCAAAAGCACATACAAAGACGTGGCTGGGCCTACCCTTTTCTGTGTTTCAGCGCACCCCCAAATCCTCTGAACCCTGGACGCTATGCAGGTGTTAACTTTAAGCTCCTGAGTTTAAAGATGTAAACCACTTCTCTTATATAATACCCTGGTTTAGGTGCTCCTTGTGCATTGGGGGAGATTATTACAAATATAGAATTATCTGGATATGGCTCTTGCTTACAAATGTAATGTAAGAAATAAAAAAATACAGAATTCTAATAGATAAAAAAAAAGCTGCTGCGGGGCGATGGTAACCTTAAATTTATGCCCAAAATAAAGGTGTTTTTGTCTCCTCAGTGGACTGAAGGTAAAAAAGTATTTTAGAGGGAATCAGTCAGGATAGAATTAGGGGTGCTGCCTTATATTACTTGTTTTTTAGGGTGCAGATTTCGGTAGTATCCCTGTTTTGAATGCAGTGTCATCCAAAAGGCCCAAAGATTATGGGCATCTAATATTGCGTTTTGGCTTTGTCCCTTGCACACAGAGCAGTTTCTCCAGATTCTCTGAATCTTGTGACGATATTATGTACTGTAGATGAAGATATATTTAAAGTCTTTGCAATTTTACGTTGAGGAACATTATTCTGAGATTGTTTGACAATTTTTAGACGCAGCTTTTTTTATACCTAATCATGTTACTGACCTGTTGCCAATCCACCTAATTAGTTGTAAAATGTTCTTCCAGCTCTTCCATGTTAGTACCACTTACTTTGCCAGCTTTTTGCTGCACTGTCCCAACTTTTTTGAGATGTGTTGCTGCCATCAATTTCAAAAGTACCATATTTCATTCTTAAATTGGTACATTTTCTCAGTTTAAACATTTGATATGTTTTTTTCTCTTGTGAATAAAATCTGGGTTTATGGGATTTGCAAATCATTACATTTTGTTTTTATGTAGATTTTACACAACATCACAACTTTTTGGGAATTGGGGTTGTAAATTTGGGTTAGTGCCAGAATGTCCAGTCATCTCCTGGATCCTGGAAAATGTATAGGTCCCTTAATGGGGATCTCGGCATAAATACAAATGTAGACCAGTTATATTATAACAGCAAATTATCTTCCTCTGGCATACAGGTTTTCATTTTGCTATCCTGCTACTGAGTAAAGTTTTTGTCTGACTTCTTCTTTGAATACAGTGAAGTGCCATTGTAGCACTCTTCATTGTCTAGTATTTTTTTTTTTTTTTTTATATTGGGAGTCATTAAAGTGAATTCCAGTATTCGAATGTCAGATTGCAGTCACTGCAGAGAGGATCACATTTGCCATAAAGGACTGCACACTTGAAGTCAGTGACATGGTGTGACCTGGCTTCCTACTCTGTGGGCTATAGAGTAGTACAGGCCGCCTTTAAGGTTTCCATATAGTGGCTGTATCTCAGCAAGCACCACATATGTCTGGTCCCTGTCCAGTCGTTTTTTGCTTTTTGGGACAACCACTATGATGAAACAAGTGCTGTGAAAGTGACCCTGTTTTTCCAGGCAAATAATTCTTCCAACCCACTGAAAGTGACACATAAATGCTGTTATACTTTTTTTTTTGCGTTTCCCAGATTATACATGCACAGAGCAATCAATACAGAACAACTACTGCTCTGATTTGTATTATTCATAATTTACCTGATTCTGAAGCTTTTAATAGGCAGCGCCAAAAATATGAGTCAAAGCAAACAGGTTTAGTACAGTTGTGTGTCATCTAACCTTTGCATGGAGAAAAACCTTTAGCAACACATATTCTTAGGGAACTGGTTGATCTAAACATTTATTTCCATCTCAGTGTTATAATGAAGTCTATGGAAAGAGCAGGCTGGAGATGCAATCTACAGAGCTTTCCTATGGCTGACAGAATAACAGTTTATTATAGGGATGCACAGATACCAGTGCCAATACTTGGCATTTTCACGAGAACTACCAGCGTTGTAGCTGCGACTGGGCCCTGGCGCTCCACCACTGTCCTGAAATCATTAGTCTGTATTATTTTATAAAAACTGTCACATGACAATAAACAAAAATGTATGGTAATTGGTATCTGTGAGAACAAGTATCGGTACTTGTACTTGGTCTGGAAAAAGGGTATTAGTGCATCCCTAATATATATATAAAAAACAAATCATACATTAAAACAGGGATGCATAAATCCCGGCAGCCCCGTAGCCAATGCTCCTTAAAAATGACAGCTGCCTCTGACAGCTGACTTTTGAGTTATTCTCTAGTCCAGTAGCTGTAAAAGTATCTGTACTTGTACCAAGTACGGTACTTGGCTTATTGTTCTAAAACCGTCTTACAAGAAAACACATAAATACATTGCCTTTTCTTTTATCTCTTCACATCAGGTTTTCTCTTTTCCTGTGTAAATATCTGATAAAAATGCGTTGTTTCAGTTTTTAGGGTTTTTTTTTTGTATTTTAAAATGCATAATACAGTGTGCAGATAAAATGATGCTGATTGGGGAAATTCTAGTGTCTAAGGTTATATTTGATTATCAGAAAAATCTTTCACTTCTAGAGAACAGTGGGACTATATTGTGTAATGAACAGAATAGGAAAAACATTCCAAGTGTGATCTGAGGATGAAGGCACTCTGATTTTGATGTTATTTTAGTAAATGTTAGGCAGCACTTGCACATTTGACAATGTTCTTGTCAAACGTATAAATTGCAGTATTTTAGAGTGCACGAACGTCATTTTACACCCGGTGTGAAGCAGTGAGAGGCAACTGACTGAGTCAAATGTCTTGTCATGAGCAGACAGTGTTTTCATCAAGTCTGATGATGTTTTAAGCCAGAAGTGGACAAATTAATATGGAATCCAGGAGCCAGCAGGATTGTTTTTAGGAGATCGGTCCATTTACAACAACTAGACAAAACCTCAAAAACTAGTCACCAGCTGTCATTTTTAAGGAGCATTGACTACCTGGCTCGTGGGATTTGTTCAGCCCTGCTTTAGCAGACATTTTGTGGGTTGTTTATGATTATTTTCATTTTATTGCAAAATCTGGCTTTGTGAAATCTGATTTTCTTTATCTTCTTTCACTCTATGCAGTGTGCAAGTTTAAGTCTCATAAGCGGTGTGCCGTGAGGGCTACAAACAACTGCAAATGGACTACCTTGGCCTCTATTGGAAAAGACATCATAGAGGATGAGGATGGGGTTAGTATGCTTTGAAGGCAGCATCAGTTTGCCGGACTTGTTTTTCTCATGGCACATTGAGATTTGTACTTTGTTATACAGCCTGTATTAAAGAAAGCATGTTATTGTGTTTGGCCTCTACAGGTATCAATGCCACACCAGTGGTTAGAGGGGAACCTGACTGTTAGTGCCAAGTGCACGGTATGTGAGAAGACTTGTGGCAGTGTGCTGCGCCTACAAGACTGGCAATGTCTATGGTGCAAAGCAACGGTAAGGCACCTACTAGAACGTTCCTTCTCAGCCTTTTTGTCCCAAATAAACCCTTTACATAATTTTCAGTTCTTAGGGAACCCCTGATTAAAATTGTATCTACAGCTCATGGCAAGTTATCAGTGTCAGATATAATAATAATAAAAATGGCATTCCTAGAGTAATTAACACTCATGTTTGAAAATTATTTAACACTAACAATTTAGATTAAAAATATTATCACAAAATATTTATCAAAAGTAATAATAATGACCAGACAGCAGTGGTCACTGGAGAAGTTCCTCTTTACATTGGTGGTCACTGAGAAGAATGCCATCCTTACAGGCAGCTAAAAAGATCAGAGTAACATGCTACCCAATCTGTGATGGGATGTTGTCCCTGGAACTACGCAGGTACTGTCAGATAAGAAGTCAGTTTACCACTGCTCAGGGAATCCTGAGCAACCCATGGAGAAACTCTAGTTGTGAATGGCTGATCTAGACTATGTAAGAATTTTGTTTGATTGGGATGAGTAAGCTTTGTTTTGGTTCATCTGTTGGGATTTAAAATGTGGCCACCCTTTTGTATTGTTGTTATTTACATTTCAAAATACTAGTTAAAATATTTCCGATTAAAAAGGAGTGTCCATATTTCTAGGCAGCTCTGTGTTCTTCATAAATGTTTTTGCTGATTCACTTTAAAACTCCTTTAATGTGTGCTGAATGAAATATAACTTTGTTACAGTCGTAGGGATTTTTTTTTTTTTAATAGTTGTTTGACCCTTGGCATAACCCCGTTCCTTGAGAACCAGATTACCTACAATATATTTTTTTGGGGTCTTTACCAGAGACCTTGTCAGTACTATTGGCCTTCCTTAACTTTGCCCAGAATCCAGGTGCTGCCATAGGGAATATTGGCCTTTTGCATTGCTTGCCACCTACACAAGTTTAGGAATATGCTTGTATATGCTAAAACTCATGCTCTGGAGTATGCTGGTTTCAAGGCTTGTTTACACTGTCCAGCCCTAGAGAGGTGAGGGTTTAGAACCGCCTGGGTTGTTAGCTGTCTTTGTCCGTCTTAAAGGAGAACTATGAGGCGAGTGAAAATGACTCAGCCTCATAGTTCTAGCCGACCTGTGACAATGAAACTGTCACAGGTCGGCTCAATAGATCGGAAAGTGAGCGAACACATACCGTCGCTCGCTCACTTCTTGATCTATCCCTGCAGTGAGCCGTGACTGTCACTCACGGGTCCCTGCAGGGATTCTCCCCTCCCCAGTCCAATCCTCCAGCGCTGACTGGCGGAACGGACGGGGCAGGGGGCGGGTACAGCTGGCTCTGCCTCTAGATAGGCCACAGCTGGGTGGATCTCGACAGTAAAGTTGGGATCCGTCAATCCCTCAGCTGGGTGGATCTCGACAGTAAAGTTGGGATCCGTCCCGGCTGCGGCGTTTCAGTATACCGCGAGCTGTAGCTCTGGGTGACGGGAGGATGCTAGTTTGTGTCCTCCCGTTACCCTTAGGAGAACTATGGGTAAACACCCTAACCCCATAGTTCTCCTTTAAGCTGGCCATACACTGTACTATTTTTTCGTTCAGCCTTTCCGGCTGAATCGCAGATTCCTCCATCAACACTAAGCAGAGTGGATAGAGGAATCTCCCGCCGTTTCCATTGTATTCTGACAGCGGCCGCTGGCCACTGGTTGGCAGCAAACAACGTCTGTCCGAAAATTTTTAAGCCAGCTCCTTCAGTCTTTTGATCGAGGGATGCCGGGCAGAAGGCTATCTACAGGGACACCCACTGTGCAAATTTTGTCCAGCTCATTAAGAACTGGCCAAAATTTGCATAGTGCATGGCCAGCTTTAGAATTATTTGCTCTGTTGCAGAATAAGTAGATATCAGCACACACATTCCAAAAAGCAGCTTTTTTTTATTGAGCCATGAAAAATCAATTACACAGGAGATGAACCAATACCCATACATTTTTCTAGGATCCATGAGAAGACTGGACATACTGGCACCAACCCAAATGTAAACATTATTTTCTGGGTGGACTTAAGCACATAATCCAACAAACGAGGCCCTATGACAACTTTGTCAGGAACGATCCAGCCATTAAACAAATTTTTTTACAAATGATATTCACATCCAATGTACAGAGCATGTCAAATTGTCATTGAGGTGCTTCAATTAAGGTTAGCTCCTCTTGGTTTAACGCTAGACTATGGGAGCTGTCATTGCTGTCTTGTGTGAAGGTGCAGGACCTGATGGGTGTCACATCTTTATCCTTCCTTCACCACTTACTGAGTTACTAATGTGGAACAAGCATGTGCATATGCATACGCCTGCTATGGCGCAGTGACATAGTAAGTAGTGAAGAAAGGATTCAGAATGCCAACCCTGTAATCTGCACCTTCCCACTATAATAAATCCTATCCTGACAGTCTACAGTCACTTGCATTTTAGCTCTTCAAAGCCCATATGGGTTGTGCCTTGCTTTAAAGGGGTACTCCATTCTACTTTTAACTGAAAATGTATGCGTAAAGGAGCCCTTGGCCCATAGTATTAGCCCCTGTTTCCCTTGTAGTCCTGTTTTCTAAGGGACTGGAGACAAATTTTCACTCTCTTTTATTGCTGCAGGCACAGAGTATTATTGCAGCTAACCCATTCAGATATATTGATGGTTTATAGTCACCATTGAGTGTGACTAGACAATTTAGTCAATAGGACAGGCTAAGGGAGGTTACTGAAGGTGAATACCACTTGAAGGTATTCATGTACACTGGGCCAAAAGCTATGCTTTAACCCATAACAAACAGTGTGGGGAAAAAAAAGTGATGGACAGCATCTCCACTTTTACTGTAGTTTCCTTGTCTCAACATTCATTAATCTATTTCAGTGTTTGTAACAGTTGACCGTTCTTTGTTTACAGCAGAGAATTGATTTGCTAAATAAAATACAGAATGTTCTGAGCTGGTAATTGCATCACGGATAAACTTTCCTAAACCTGATGGAGTAATATATTTTATCATATATACAGATGTGAGGAGGTTTCCTTCCTGTGTCATTGCAGCCTTTTAGTTGTGGCATCACTTGCCAATTCTTAGTAATGCCTTCTTCCTGTCTTGCCACCAATAGACCTTCTACATACAAGTGCCTAAAGGGAGAAGTCCCTGCAGCTCAATGTGCAGAGTTGCATCAGGCCTCATGGCTCAGTATATGCAGTCATTCGGCAAACTGACTGCATCCATTTTTCTAAAAGGTTATTCTGAACAGTTCCTCTGTGTGACGTGTAAAGAGGGGCTGTTTGGAATAACCCTATTTATTAAGTTACTAAGGTACTAAGTTTATTTAAGTTACTAAGTTTGTTTGATGCCATACAAAGTTGGTTCATTTACACAAGCAAAATGTGAATAATGGCACCTATCAATTATGAAATAACACATTGCATAATGTAACCATGTCTGACTTGAAACTTTACTAACAGTAAAATGTAAAGTCTAAACATACTTCTCCATAGTAGTAATATCTGATTCAAACACAAACAGATTAGACTGTAAAAGGACCTCATCAACCGTTGTTGACAGATTACATAGCTCCAGGCTTTTCAATAGTCTTCTTTCTTTGTACTGACAGGTACACAGAGTAAAGATAAAGGCTTAAAGAGATCATTGATCTCTGTGGAGACCTAGAGTGATTGCACACAAGCACTTCAACAGTAAATGAAAAGATTACCTGTACTGTTACCATTGCTCTGTGCTTGTGTGCACATTACTGGTGTTGCTCTGCAATCTGCCTCCTAGCTCCTGTCCATTGCTCACCTATAGCTTGAATTACACCAGTAGAAGTCGAGAGAATGCAGTTAACAAATCATAGAGTTGGCAACACTGAAGCATCACCACAGTACTGCTAAATGGGCATATGTACAGTTCTTAGTATTTATATAAAAAAAACACATGCTGCACCATTTACAATACTAAACGCAAGTTAATTCTTAAAAATACATTCATGTACCTAAACTATTAACAAAAATGTAGATGGAGGGTGGCTACTTTTTTCCCCATGTCCCTGTGTGTGTTGTAAAGTAGTCACCGCTCCCTTGATGGACTACAATCTCAATACAAATTAGTAAACTAAATGTGAGATTGTAGTCCATCACAGGAGTGAGCTTGGAGCGGTGGCTATTTTACAACACACACAGGAACCATGGGGAACAAAAGTAGCCCCCCTCCAGAAGGAAGGACAGTGTCAGCACCAATTCCGCGATGATTGGAGGATCTACAGCCGAGTGATACCCAAATAAGAAATATATTTATGATAATAGTTAAGGTACTTGAATGCATTTTTAAGATTGAACTCCTGAGTATAGAGTCACTTTAACTATAACGCTTTTACAAAAGTACACAGAATTCAGTATTTATTATCGGTATTTATATAGCGCCAACAATTTTACGCAGCGCTTTACACAGTGGACATTCACATCAGCCCCTGCCCTCAAGGAGCTTACAATCTAAGGTCCCTATCTCGCATACATACAGGGCCAATTTAGACAGGAACAAATTAACCTACCAGCATGTCTTTGGAGTTTGGGAGGACACCAGAGTACCCCCACGCAAGCACAGAGAGAACATGCAAACTCTTTGCAGATAATGACCTGGCCGGGATTTGAACCACAGATCCCCAGTGCTGCAAGGCAGAAACGCTAACCACTACGCCACTGTGCTGCCCAAGCTTGCTATAGTACACTTTTCTAGCTCAGCGGGGCTGACTGAGAGAAATTGATCGATTCCTGCATCCACACTAAACGGCATGGATGAAGGAATCTGCTCTGCCGGATATTGCATTCATCAGGACCCACAGCAGCTGAATGTCTGAACAGTTACCGCATCCGATTGTATGCAGTCACTGTTCAGCTGACCATTTCTACCTGACTCCTTCCACAAAAGTTGATTGAAAAATCAAATTTGTCAAACCAGCGCCAACCACAGCTGGAGTTTCAACCTGTCAAGCAGGAATTGGCCAAAATTTGAGCCGTGTATGGCCAGCTATAGTTGTAGGTGATTGTAAACAGAAACATTCTCCTAGATGCTGCAAAATGAGAGGATCCTTTGTGAAACATACTGTACACATTCTGTGGAGTTTTCTCTCCTATAAACCCTGCAGTACTGAGTCAGCAGTATCATAGGCCATGTGGATGGTTGGCATTCATCCTGCTAATGACATATGAAATAGAAGTGCTGAGGGAAGTGTGTTGAGTAAATTTAAATTTTTATAATTATCAGTTTGCAAAATATGACATTGTTAAAACAGGATGTTAAGTAATTGACAGCTCTTCTTGTTCTCAAGCTGAGAAAATTGAATTGCCAGTATTACATGAACATCCTTCTTATTGTGTGACAATGTGTCCGCATGCAAGAGAGGAACTGAGAAACTGTTCAGGCAAACAGTGTATAAAGGACATCATTGTGAAATAAGGGAATGTGTGCGATCTCAAGGGGTGATGAGAACAAAAGCTACAGTTACTGTGTTATCTGTCACCAGGTCCGCAGATAACATTTCTTCCATGGTCATTTTAGTTGGCGATTTCTACTTAACAGTTTTAGATAACTTCCTGCATCATCAGTTTTTATTTTTGTCATTAGAGGGTGGCAGAAATCTTAGGAGTTTTGTCAGAGTTCTCCCAGTGTGTTGGAAGATTGAGTAGACCCAGGGAAGGGGAATACGTCTTGTAGACCACTCCTGATTTTATAAGTGGAGGTTGTTTTTTTAGAGAGAAGCTCTGGACGTTCTAGCGCAATGCTTTCTTTAGCTGGCCATACACTGCTTGAATTCTGACCCAGTCCTGCTGACTCGGCTTAAATTCGAGCAGTGTGGCCCCATCGGCAGCACTCCATTTCGACAGAAGTCTATTTTTCAAAAGTGTTTTGTCTGGCAAACTAGTGCAGAAATTGTCAGCTAAACAGTGATCAGTTCTCAGTATTCTGAAAGTGGTATACCCATAGAGGCCCAGTGAGGGGATTCTAGAGTTTCTTTCTTGTTGGGCACACAGGGATGAAGGAAGATAAACTAGAAGTGTATATCCAGCCTAAAGCCAGCTATACACGTTTCTGTTTCTTTTTTGTTCAACTTGCGGGCTGAACGGAAAAAATAGAACAGATTCCTCCATCAACACTTATAAGCATTGATGGATAAATCACCCACTGTCAGAATACCCGAACGGAGCTAGCAATTGTTTGGCTGCTAGCTCCATTCAACTGAGAATTTTCCAATGTGCTCCATGTGCACATTACAAAAGTGATTTCTATGGTATTTTGTATGTAAAAAGTCAGTTCACATCGTTTTTACTCCTAAAAATGCCACTACCTTCTGGCTGCTGACAGTGACTTTCTGTGAAGTGTCTATTGTAGTTACCAGAACAAGGAGCCATTGATGGTGGAGATAAAACAACTAAAATACAGATTGATCTGATATAGAAACTCTCAACCAGCCAGACAACCCTCTACTACCTTTGCTACAACTAGTATGTGCTATTCAATGGAGAAAAGGCACTTCCCTACTATTGTAGCACAGACAGAAGAAGCAACACAGAAGGGACTTTATAGCCTTGGTGTTTAAATACTGACATTGCACTTTCAGTTACATAAAAGTACACCTAACTCTGCATAATGGTTTAGGTTTTCAATAATAGACTGTTTTGGACATGTTCCAGAATTGGTTCTGTTTTTTTGTCAATAGTAGAAGTTGCACCTTTTGGTTTTTCTTTTTTAAATCCTTCCACGTTTTGTCTCTTACTACATATAATTGTAATTTTTTTTCAGGTACATACATCCTGCAAGGAGCTTCTTCCTAAAAAATGTCCACTTGGACAGTGTAAAGTGTCCGTAATCCCCCCAACGGCCCTCAACAGCATAGACTCAGATGGTGAGTGGTGGTACCATGTGTAACCACAGAAAAGGAGAAAAAAGTCTGTACAATATATGATGGATCATTGATTTTCCTGTTTTGTCTATTTCAGGGTTCTGGAAAGCCACCTGTCCCCCATCGTGCACAAGCCCTTTGCTTGTGTTTGTCAATTCAAAGAGTGGAGACAACCAAGGTGTAAAGTTCTTAAGACGCTTCAAGCAGCTGTTGAATCCAGCTCAGGTTTTTGATCTAATGAATGGCGGACCCCATCTTGGGTAAGATTTTTAATGTGCCTAATTAAAAAAGCTGCGAGTAATAGATTTTGATGGTCTGTGCACAACCTGTGGTCCTTGGACCTTAACAACTAGTTGTCAGTGTTTTCCCGCTGAGGTACTTGGACAAATGTTGGAGCATTGATTTTTAATAAGGCTACAATTGCAATCTTCTGGTAATGTCCCCTGTCTCCGACCACTGTTAGCATTCCTCTCAGTCTCTGACAATTCTGTTACCATTTTTCCATTCTCTCACCACTCCAGTAGCAAGTCCAGAGTGTCAGGCTGCCTCCTGCAGCATGTCCCTAATCTCTGACCATCCTCCCTAGCATTAGAGTTTTTGAATATAATGTGCAGTCCCTCTGTGATGTTAAAGGCCAAATGTGAGGCTCACTGTATCTTTTATTTAGACCACCACTAGAAGGCCTTGCTCTCCTCACATCCGCTGTCTAGCTGCTTATTCTGTACAATAAGTATAATGGAGGATTTCCACATTCAACAGAATCGGGAAATATTGGCAACACATTTTTTTTGCCATAGGCAAAGCAGACGTTCTTCAACAAGCGTTCATGAAAGATCTATGGGTCGGCACCAAGCAATCTCTGTATATCGATAAAATGGATTGCTGTCAAAGAAATAAGTATCTTGGTTATGTACAACAACACAGACAGAGGATACCATGGAGAGATAAAAATAGAAGATGTCCTCTGAGAGAGAGGAGGGGGAGGTAAACTTGAGAAACAAAAGGTAGAGAAGGAAAATGGAAAGGGGAAAAATCGTAGGGGAGGCGGACTGACTGCCGCCTCCCCCCATGGGGTGGAACAGAGGGAGACCCCAGGTTCCTGGCAAGTTATCCTGTCATCTATGCTGCAGAGTTTTCATTATTAGGCTAGGCAGGCAGTACCAGTAGTGCTGTTCTGGGTGGCTGACAGTGGTTAAATGTGATGGGATGTGTTTGTTTCCGTGTGCCTGGGATAAAGGCTTTTGCTGCACTGAGAAGATGCACCAACAAAGGTTGTTTTTGTTTGGGTTTTTTTTTAAGTGATGGGGTGTGAGGTGGAGTAGACTTGCCACATGTCATCGATAAAGTAATTCGGTGTGAGTTTAAAAATTACAGGTACTACCCTCAACCAGAGCTGTTAGATCAATAGAAAGGTGCCCCCTGTTCCCCTGCAATGCTAACATCTGTCCTCTGAACCCTGAATGATATGTGAAATGACATAGGGAGCTCTACACCACCCGGTTTGTAACTAACGTCTTGATATTTATTACAAATGGAAAGCATGGTGTGAGTAGAAAATACAGTACCTGTTGTGGGGAAAAGGTGATGTTTAAGTCTTTCTGCTGCTTCTGAAGGAATGAGTCTAGAGGCAGATTACAATTCACTCAAAAAAGTTGATAAGACAATAAATATGTGCCTGTCAGAGGCCCCTGTTGGTTACAGATTATCTCAAAGGATGTGAGTGGGTGAAAGAAAGCCTTGTAGCCTGGCAGGGAGCACAATTGTGAAAGCTGTGTCAAGGCCTCTATGTCCGATCCCCATGAATCAGGTATTTGTCATCCAGAGAAGAAAGTGAAATGATGCAGTAGTGGTCAGTTTTTAAAGGGATTATTATTTTGTAAATAATATTATTAACATGTTTTCCCCACTTGCAGTGAGAAGAGCCAAACTTAATAGTAATTAACGATTTTTATTCATCCCTTTAGCTTACGTCTGTTTCAAAAGTTCGACACTTTTAGAATATTGGTATGTGGCGGAGATGGAAGTGTGGGCTGGGTTCTCTCTGAAATAGATGCCCTAAATCTTCACAAGCAGGTAAAACTGGTGTGAATGAATGTTAATGTAGATATACCTATTTCAGGCGTCATGTAAAACTCATAGATATACCTATTTCAGGCGTCAAGAACTACTGATAACCTACTTAAAGGAGAGTTGAGCCCATGAGGGCATGTGCTTCCATTGCTAACCACCTTCTGCAAGTGTTTGCTGCCTGCCATCATGTCAACCTTGTTGAACACTAGATTTTAAATTCTGTTTAAAGTATCCCCAGATGATTTTTTATTAATGTAATCACTTTTATATGCACACCTGCATATTTAAAGATATTAAATGGTCTTTAATTTCTTATGTTGTATCTGTCAGTGTACATGATGGTATATCTTCTTTTTTTTTAAATTGTTTAGTGCCAACTGGGTGTGTTGCCTCTAGGAACAGGGAATGACTTGGCACGAGTGCTTGGCTGGGGCTCTGCATGTGATGATGACACTCAGTTACCCCAAATACTGGAGAAGTTTGAGAGGGCTGGCACTAAAATGCTGGATAGGTAAAGTCAACGTATACTATTTTTTGTTTTAATGGGAAAGAGTATTTAGGAAAGTTATGGTGAGGGGGGCCAAAGGAAACCACAAATCTCTCCACACCTTAACCAGTGTGTAGCGAAGTAAAGACTTCCTAATATAGCAGGTATCTATATGTCTCTCTTCCGTCACAAATCTAAAAAATAAGGGGTTTGTTCCTCACTGTAGAGTAGTGGGTGGAGCCGTTTTTTGTGTAATGATCATTCTATTTAGGCATTTTAAGTTTTGCAATTGAATTTTAAAAGCTGTTGATTTATCCTTGGCAGGTGGAGCATCATGGTGTATGAGACCAAACTGCCAGCTCAGGTTCCAGATCCCTGTACATCAACAGAACCAATTGAGGATTGTGAGGTGAGTCCATGTAATGACATGCGCTAGTTCTCTAATTCTTCTTGCCATCTTCTTGTTGATGGGTGCTAGAGTTGTTGGCCAGCCAAACTAAAAGTCTATAATATATATTTTGAGCTCTTCACTCTTAACCACCTTTCTTTCTTCAAGGTGCAGCAGATTCTGGTTTATGAAGACTCTGTAGCAGCTCACTTATCTCAGATACTGAGCTCAGACCAACACTCTGTGGTTATCTCTTCAGCTAGGTAAGTCATAGTCATTACAATGTAGTAGGGTAACTGTTACATGGAATTTCCATCCTAAAAATGCTAAAGGAACTTTCTATAACAGCATGAGGGTCATGGAATATAAACCAGTGCTGCAACTGAGAGCTCACTGAACTCGCTGGCCAGTCAGAGTTGGACAGTCTATGGTATGGCAGCAGCTAACACTATTGGAAACAATACAGAGATTGCAGCCATAGGATTGTGCCTTGGTTGGATCCTTTGTGATGATCCGCCTCGGTGGGTGCTCCAATAGAAACATATAGGAAGCTACCCTGCAGGATTATTGAATGATAATGGCCCCGAAAGAGAGCTTTGCGTGTCCCACAAATAGTATAATATAGTTATTCGTTTGATATTGGATCTTGAAAAAATGATCAATAAATCAATAGGCCCATAACAGAATTTTTCTGGTTTATAAGGGGTAAACCAGCACTAGCCCTAAAGTCGTTATCGTATAACTACAACATTTTTTTTTAAGATTTAAAGGAGAACTGTGAGGTTAGGGCTTTTCCCCATAGTTCTCCTTAGTGTAGCGGGAGGACACAAACTAGCGTCCTCCCGTCACCCTAGGCTCAGAATACCGCGAGCTACAGCTGGCGGTATACTGAGACGCCGCAGCTGAAACGGATCCCGACAATTATGTCTGGATCCGCCCAACTACGTGAGTGTATTGTTGAAGGATCAGAGCGGGGAGGGGGGAATCCAGCCCCTCCCCTGTCACGTCAGAGAGCCGTGACAGGATCGAGAAGTGAGCGAACGCCGGTATGAACCGACCTGTGACAGTCTCATTGTCACAGTTCGGCTAGAACTATGAGGCGAGTGAAAAGCACTCGCCTCATAGTTCTCCTTTAAAAGGTAGTTCCACTGTCAATTTTTTTGCTCTCTGTGGCATTAGTGGTATTTTCCTTCACTTTCTTCCTACTAATATGCATACAATGGGAACTTTAATAGGTTTACCAATCATGTATTCCATAAAGGAGGTGGATGTGGTTGGCAGTTATGACGTTGAGATTATGCTAATTTGGCACCAATGGGCCTAATGTGGTCCAAGGTAACATTCCCAACACGATGATATCAGCACCAATCTAAACCTATGAAACAAGAAACAATCGATCTATGCTGTGTATTTCAGAGTGTGACTCTACTGTCTAAATGTCACACCATTCATCAGATCACGCAATGATTTTCCAGTCTCCAGTCGTACAATTTTGGTGATCCTATGCTCAATGTAGCATTCCCTGTTTCTAACTGATTGGTGTGGAGAAGGCATCAATATTTTGGCCTTCTGCTCACCATTTTAGAAAGGGTTATGTGAGCAGTTATGGGCTTGGGGTCAAGCCCTTGTAAAAGTTGAAAAAGTTTATTTGTCCCAACTGTTGCCACTTTCATAGTATTTGTTGCTTGCACAAGTCTTTGTAAGCTTTCAAGACTGTAGGACCTGAGGTAAGCCACTCCTAATATGCTGCAGCCACCACCCATTTTTTAGCACCAATTATTCCATTGTTTTTTGCTTGGATCACATGTTCCCAATTCGAATATTTGGTCATAACTAAACCACTTGACTATGGCTGCATGCTTAGTTATTTTTGCTAACATGCAAGTGTACCTAATGCTACATGCTGTAGCCCTACATGTGATGGGAAAGAAAAATGCTGTAAATATGGATTTAAACCCATTAAATACCACTTGTATGTAATCTCGTAGAAGTCTGATTATTTTTTTCTATTTTCTTAGAGTCTTGTGTGAAACTGTAAAAGATTTTGTTGCCCGTGTGGGGAAGGCCTACGAGAGAATGACAGAGAGTTGTGAAGAATCTGAAACAATGGCAGGAAAGGTATTTTACTTTTCAGGTTTAATACAAAGAAGCAATGAGTTCCATGTTTATTGCAGTTAGGACTTGCACACAGATGTCTCTTTAGTGCTGTTTAATGCAGCTTTTAAACTAAATAGAACACATGATAACACCTGTTCCACCTTTTTTTTGTAAACTAAGTAAGACATGATTGCAAAATACAAGTGAGGTAATATTGTTGGCATACAAAAATACAATTGCATGTTACAAACACCTGTGTGTTTAAGCCACTCTAGGCAATGCAGGCAGATCATGGCTGGTAAGAGGGGCCAACAGACCGCTATACACGGCTTTTGGAAAACATCAGAGCACCCTGTCTCAGCAATCCTCTCGGGCTCACAGCCCCGATGCAAGCAATAAGTAAAAAGGGTGAATTAGGGACAGTCAGGCTGGGGAGGAAAGGACTAGATGATGCAGGATGTCCTCCAGCCAGGAAATGAAGTGGGCTTTATCTGACTTGCTGCAACTTCTAATGCACACTACTGCTCTTAGTGAGCAGTGAAATCAGAGTAAGGCTGGCCATACACTAACCGTTCTTTATTGTTTAACCCTTCCTCATTCATGCTGTGCTGTATTCTGACAGCAGTGCGAGTGCCGCTGTCAGAATACCTGAACAGTGGCTTTAGTTGATTGGGAGGGGGGAGTGGTCTCAAGGGGACCACACACTGGTTGAATTTGGATTGAGTCAGCTGGATGTGGCTGAAATTTGATCAGTGTAAGGCAAGCTTAAAGGAGAACTATAGGATGAGTGAAATACACTCATCCTAATAGTTAGAGCCGACGTGTGATACTGCAGCTGTCACACATGGGCTCTATAGATTGAGAACTGAGCGATCACATAACGCTAAACTCTCAGTTCAGGATCTTTTCCCTGCAGAGAGCGTTGACTGTGAGTCACCGCTCCCCGCAGGGATTCTCCCCTCTCTGACAGACAGGGGAGGGGTGGGCATAGCTAACTGTGGCTCTAGAGAGGCAAATCCAGCTGTCAATCAGGTAGCAGTGTGGATCCCGACAATATTGTTGGGACCCTTCACGGCTGCTGCCCGCTATATGCTGAGTTTAGGGTTACAGGAGCACATTAACAAATGTCCTCCTTTGACCCTAAAGAGAACTGCGGCTAAAAAAGGTTTGCACAGCACAGGAGAGGAGCATGTGCAACTGTGCAAGGCTAAAGGTTCAGCTTTAAAAGCACAATGCAAGGAGCAGAAATCATGTACCAATTACATCTCTTTTTTTCATCTCTCTACAACAGGGGTAGCAAACCTCTGGCCCTCCAGCTGTGGTGAAACTACAAATCCCATGAGGCATTGCAAGATTCTCACAGACATGACTCCCGAAGAGAGATGCATCATGGGATTTGTAGTTTCACCACAGCTGGAGGGCCGGAGGTTTGCTACCCCTGCTCTACAACAATGGTTTCTTATTGGTTAGAATTGTTTACTGCACTTTACAGATTTCTTTTTGCCATATGGATAAATCCAGGCAAAAGGAAATGTGCCTATCAAAAAGTGTTACTACCATGTAATGATGAAATGTGCTGCATTCTTTTTTTTTTTTTTAAAGAAAGACAGAAATGTGGTACTGGAACTGCCCCTGCTGTTTCTGCTTTCAGCGAATGGATTGCACATTGCTGTCTCTGTCCTCTGTCTGGCCCATGATTCTCTTTCTTGGCTGCTTGTATAAGCTTGATACATGAAGTCTGCTCCGTTACATGGGCAGTATGGTTGTTCGCAGTGCTTCCCAAAATCTGCTCACAATAGTATGCCTCCGTGGTTAGCTATTTGTATTGGCAGCTGAGACTAGTAATGTTACGGCAGCTTCCAGATCTACAAGTAGCGATGAGCAGGGGCTTGGTGCAAACTCTGCTCACCTGAGTTAGCCCAAGTCTGCACAAAACTGTGCCTGATACACCCCCCTACTGGCCAGTACATTCCCCGCCCGGCAGCTACACGTTATAAAGTGGGAGGGGCGGGGGGGGGTCAGACACAGATTTCTTTGGGCGAACTGGGCTCCAACAAACCCCTGCTCATCACTGATCACAAGTAGGAGCTACAGGCCCGTCTCCTGATTATGCGAGTTTTTAAATTTTGGAGCTGCTGCACTACATCATTTGACTCAACTATGAGAAGGTATTTACATCATTGAGATATTTCTAAATATTTCTGTTATTGCTTGATGTTTCTAAGCTGTGCTTTTATTAAAAGGTGGCAGTTAGCTTTACCAAGAAAATCCATAAGTAATGGTATTATGTCATGTAACAATGGATTTCTTAGTGTCATTTTGTAACAGACTCCAGCAAAAGAAAGAACTTCTCTCTTCTATAGGGCTGCGGAAATTAACGATTAATCCCTCGATTAATCGTTCATTTTTTTGATCGATCAAAATTATTTTGATCGATCAAAGTTCTTTTGATCCGTACTCACCTCTCCGCCGGCTTCCGGGTCTTCCGTCGATGTCCGCGACGTCACCGGACTCCTCCCCCACTTCTATAATTAAATGCGAATGAGTGTTATTTCATTGTTAAATATTTCTGATTTCCACAATGGTTTTATATTCTCTAGTGTACTGTCCTTCGAGAGAAGCTCGACTCCCTCTTGAAAACTTTAAATGAGGAGGCTCAGGCTACATCAGTCCTGTCCCAACCTCCACCCACAATAAACGAGGAGACTGAGGAGTCATCAGAAAATGCCAGAAGCCCTCCAGCTGTCTCTCCTTCTCCAGGACGATCGCAGACTTTTCGGCCTCGCGAACAGCTCATGCTCCGAGCTAACAGTTTGAAGAAAGCCATTCGACAGATAATTGAGCAGGCAGAGAAAGGTAGTTGATGCAGATGTCCTTATTCATTTTCCATGTTGGTAAAGGAAAAGCTTATACTGTCTTCTTTCTTCAACACATGCTACAGTAATAAATTTTTTGCTTTTCCATTATGGCATTGTCATATTCCACAAGATACAGTATTTTTGAATATAAATATAATACATACAAATATGATCTGCACTTTTTCCTTTTTTATTCACCCCCCCAAAAAAAATCTGCTAGTCTTTTATTATACTTTTTTTTTTTTATATACTAAACTGTTGAATACACATCTTTCATTGTTCTGGGTTCCTACACATCCCTGTTCTTTGTGTGTGGTACCTCCATTCTACATTACCTGTGAGTATGCAGCAGAAGACGTGTTATGTATTGTATTGATGATCTGTGGATGCTTTGAAGATAACCAGCTATCCGAAAGTGGAAAAACAGTGGAGATTTTACATTTAACAAACAGTCCTAGTGGTGCTTACATTTATAAACCTATAAACAATAGCTGAGATGGAGGGTTGCTGCTGTGGCCAATATTTCCACATTTTCTTCCTCCCTTTTAATGAATTCCCCTTTAAGAGTGTTGTCTGCCATCAAAGCATACTAATTATTATATTCTATTACTTTTCTTGCAGCTGTTGATGAACAGAATGCTCAAACCACAAGTAATGAAGATCTCCTCCTATCGTTTCCTCTAGAGGATGGCAAAGATCGGAGTGCAGCAAGCACAGTGAATGCACATAGTGGCCCTGCTCTGCCCAGGATAAGGTCATCCAGCAGAGGTAATTTTTTTATTGAGAAGAGTGTCCTAGTCAGGGTATAAGTCACCAGTAGGCCACTAGAATATCAGGTTGAATATTTTAGCTTGATGATTTAGAGAAGTAAGTTTGCTCATTTTTGCATCATATGCATGAAATAGTTGGGTGATTCCATGATGCTAGTGTCAAAAAAGAAGGGCTTCGGAAGTTGTTTAGGGGCATTTTTGTTTGTCATCAGTATATCCCGTAAAGCCAACGGACAGTTCGTGCTTTATACAAGTCATGCCCCATAATAGAAAAGAAAAATAAAGTGTAAATTTAGTGCTGGGAACCCTCCCTGGATTTCTTTTTTTAAATAATCATTGTTTTTCTTTTAACATCATGCATTTGTTCTCATTTTCTTGTGTCTATATCTGTAAACAAAATATGATTTTAGATGGTATAAGGCACCTGTAGATGAGCTTAATTTGTACTTTCACTGTCATAGCCCAGCACTACACAGGTCTGTTATATTCTGTTTATAAATTGCAGACACAAACATTTATGACTGATTCTTAGGAAAAATGTACATTATACTTCAAAGACTAATATGTGTATTGAAAGAAATCCATCAAATAAAGTGGTGAATGTTTTGTGTTCCAATCATTTTGTAAAATTAGCAAACGGAGGAATCTCAGATAGCTTTCCATGTTTTCTTAAAAACTTTTCCCTGATGACTCCCTCTATTAAAAATGTTTATATGTCGAAATCACACCAAAGAAATATCCTATTTTTAAATGTGATTTTTTTAAAAAGCTTGTGAAATAATATGTTGGATCCCTTTATAAATAAGCTTACACTCCCTTTTACAAAGGCATCAGAACTCTGGAAGTAGTACCCCAAAAAATGTGGGCAGTGGGCAAAGGAGTAGTCGCACGTTTTGACTGTGGTCTACCCATCGCTGACCTTTTTTCTATTACTGACTTACCATGTTTTATTCTGCACTGTGCCTCTGGAGGCGGCTATCTTGTTAGAGGCAAGGCTTTGCTTCCACATGTTGGAGCCTCCAGCAAGTAGGACAGTGAGCAGCACAGACGTGACATCACCAAATCTCACACCAAATCTTCCCAGACTAGCCATCAGAGGCAGCGTCTCACACTACAGATATACATCTAAGAAACTGTATTCCTGCAGGAAGTGCCCTGCTTTTTTTCAGGGGTATTCAAGAAAAAGGGACACTTTTCTGGGTGCTGCTTAGGCACAATTAACATTCCTAAATGTTCCCTACAACATAGTAGCTTTTACTTTTTCAGTTCAGGTCCACCTCTACAGTGTTTATAACATTTCATTTTTGTTGTTCTTGTAGCTGGTAAATCGGAAAGAGCGACAAGTAAAAGCAGCCTGTCCGCAGGAGCCTCTGCATCCCTCCCTGCTGCTAATACCCATCGGGAGCACATGCACCAAAGTGAGACATTCCCCCAGAAATGATTTTGAAAGTCTTGAAATGGCAATACACCTATACTAAATTATGTACCGCTGCTTTTGTCATTTCTTTTAGACATGAAAGCTGGAATGTCTGGATCTTTACCAGGAAACTCCATCATTAGCCACTTTCTTATTAGTGCTGACTCATTTACCTCGGAACCAGACTTGTAAGTTGCGATGATGAGGTTATAGTGAAATGATTCCTTGGTCTCAAAACTAGGGTTGCACAGATACCAAGTACAGTATTCAGTACGAGTACATGTACCGATACTTTTGAGCTCCAAGACTAGACTAGAGCAAAATTAAAAAATTAGGAGGCAGCTGTCATTTGTAAGGAGCACACGGAGCTCCTGGGATTTGTACTTCTCTGTTTTAATGTACGATTTTGTTTTTATAAATATAAATAAAGGGATGCACAGATACCAGTTTTGTGAGTACAAGTACTGGTACTTGCCGAGTACTTACAAGTACGAGTACTGATACATTTCTGTTTATTGTCATGTGACAGTTTTTCTAAAACAATACAGACCAATGATTTCAGGACAGTGGTGGAGTGCCAGAGCCAGGTTCCAGCTGCAACCGCTGCAACCCGGGTAGTTCTCATGAAAATGCCAAGTATCTGCACTGGTACTCGAAAAGTATCTGTGCATCCCTACTCAAAACTCAACCTCCTTAGTTGTGTTCTAGTATTCTACATTCTACAACCCACTCCAGACCCATCTAAAATTGAACGCAAGGTTCACACTGCTCTGCCCATTTTATTTAAATAGTTGTGTGGTGTGCAACTGCATTTTACCGGATACTGAGCTGAAGACCGAGAAAATAACTGGTCACAAGTGTGGCAGGGAGAGGCTTTGACTAATATGAGTAGCATGTAGCGATTTGCTGCTTCTTGTGCAAACCTCTCCCTCTAGTGGTCAGGAAAGAGCATGTTTTGTAGTTTCCATAAAATCCTTTTTTCATTAGCTTAAGGGGAAGAAGACTTGAAGGTGATTGGGGCAGGGGGGATTTAGGGTACATGTAAAATAGAAAGTAGCAATTTAACGTCTCGTGGTTCAATAGGTGGCCTGAAAGAATGCACTTTTGGCCAAACCCTCAGCATTAAGGTTTGGATCAAAGAACTGAAAGCCAAGGGATGTTGAAATGATATGACAAAAGCTGACATTTGTCCAGATGGGCGTAGTTAGCATTCAACAAAAACCTCCTATAGCAAGCTACGAATCTGGCAAACTTGTCATTGTTGGAGGGCTTGAAAAAACATCTCCTGGTGTAAAGTGATTTATCCCTTTCTCTCATGGCTAAAGAGAAGACTGCCACCCAAGTTTCCACTCCCAATACATTAACTGCTGACAGAGCTGTAATGTGACATTTTGCCCAATGAAAGATGTAGGAAACCTCTCTCATAGCTGCCTGCTTCTTCCTGCTATCTTGGTGATCCATGAATGTCATGGATGTTGTGTTGTCACTTTTGACTTGCATTGGATGATCATTGAGAAGAAGGGTACAGTAAAGGAGAAATACTGTACATGAAAAGCTTGGATCTTCAGAATGTTAATAAGCAAGGGCAACTCCTCTGGGGTTTAACCACTTTGATTGGTGAGTTCTCCCAGGACTCCTTCCAAAACAAGGACATTTGCATCCATGATAAGAATGTTTCATTGGAGAGGAAAAAAGGATTGACCTATAGGTACCAAAGGGGAGCACTAAAGAAAGAAGTACATGCTTTGAGGACACAGGTTGAGCCTGCTACTAATGTTCTCGCTAAAAGAGCTTTGACTTCTGGATCAGACCAGCGTGGAATTAATCGAAGGGAGTCACATCAGTGGAGCTTGTTAAAGATGTCACCAGCACAGCATATTGAAGTAAAAAAAAACGTCTGTTGATGCTTCATGTCAAAACAAACAATGTTTCAGGGCCACACAGGGTCCCCTTCATCAGGCTTGAAATGACGTAATTGCAAGCCTGATAAAGGAGACCCTGTGAGGCCCTGAAACATTATTTATTTTGGCATGAAGCGTCAATAATCAGACGTGTTCATCACTTTAATATGGTGTGCTGGTGACATCTTTAACAAGTTTCAGTATTGGTGACGCCATCCGCGGTCACTTTGAGCACCCATGCTGACAGGGATACCCGGTAAGGAGTGCAGCAGGATTCTGGAATACATCACCTCAGAGGAGGACACCATCAGCCCTAGAAACTATATACACAGATGAGCAGTGCTGTGTTGTGTGCAGAACTGGACGACCTGCCATCGTAAAGCAGTTCTCTTGAGTGGAGAAAGAAGCTAGACCCTAACTGAGCTGGAGTCTAGAATCATGGCCAGGTATTCTCAGCATTGGTACAGGAATCTAGGAGAATTGAGAAAGTTTATCAACTTGTGCATGTTGATCTGTAGATCTCACAGGGCCTCATGACAAATACAGTAAGAGCCTTAGTGAGAAGGTCACCTAGGTTAGGTATCACAGAGATAAATAAAAATATATCAAGGCCATAAAGAAGGAACACAGGAATGTATTGAACTATTCCACAAAAGAATTTAGGTTTAAACTTTAATGCAGTAAAGTATATTAAAATGACAGTGTTCTCAAAACCTTCATTCAACCCCCCTTTCCAATCCCCTTATACTCAGAAGCTGTCACGTGAGGGAAAAGAAGATGTCTTCAACCCTGTGTAAGCTGCAACACCATCTGACACAGAGCTTACACAGGGTTAGGACTGCCAACTCCAGTGGAGGAATGAATCGGTGGGGATATGCAAAATTTGAGTGTGTTCAGAACCTTGTTTCTTTTTTGGCCTACAATGACCATAGAAAATGCCTGAAATGCCACGTTATATTTACTTTGGAAACCTATACACTTTGTTTTATACAAGACAAAGTGTACAATCTACTACACGAGCAGGGCCCTCCTAACCCTATTGTACTGAAATTGTTTTGTAACTACTGTCTCTCTTATTTGTAAAGTGCTGTGCAAACTGTTGGCACCATGTAAATCCTGTATAATAATAATAAAAATGATAATACAAGTTGTCCATCAATAATAAAAATAACATTAATCAACATACACAAACTAATACCATGAAAACCAAGCTACAGCATGCATACAGAAAACTAAAACTTACTTTTAGATGTATTTAACAGAACAAAACACTTGCTGAAAAAAACATTTGGTTCTTTCTTTCTCAGGAATTGTTACACAGAAAGATGTGTAATGAACAATTACTTTGGGATTGGACTGGATGCAAAAATTTCTTTAGATTTCAACAACAAAAGGGACGAACACCCAAAAAAATGCAGGTAAGGTAAAGTAATGCTAAATGGAGAGATAATTTAATAATTGAAGTCATATATGCTAGTTTATCTGATCAACTCCTCTTTGATGGAAGAAGTCGCACAAAGAACATGATGTGGTATGGTGTACTTGGGACCAAAGAACTGCTACAGAGAACATACAAGAACCTGGAGCAGAAAGTACTTCTAGAGGTGAGCACTACATTCTTCATCACCTACCTGTTTACTTCTGTGTCTGTCCCTACTGTGTGTCCTGCTCTGTGGCCTTCATTCTTTTCCTTATGCTATATATGTTTCTGGCTTGATGTGAACTAATCTCAGAGAACACACACACACTGCTTGAACTCTTCACTTATGAAGTATGATAAGATATATGAAGTACAGCTTTGATATTACATACAGCATGTGTTTGTTATGGCCCAACACCTGATATGCACATACTTGTACAAGACTAGGCACTCATTAAATAGTGCACAATTCAACACAGTTCCAGGTGTGTTGGTTGCCAGCATGCTCTGCAGCATTCTATGGTTCTTTTCCGCTGAACCCTACGTCAATACTGGATACAGTAGTGACATTGGGGCCACTCAGGGCGAAGTAGCATCACCTATACTACAGGCACTTACCTTTCTGCAGCTCCCCCACCAACCTTTCCATCTGTTGGAGCCCTGAGGACTTACCTTACTAGCTGTGTGGGTAATGTGTGCTTCAGCTATTGAGCTCTTGCAATTTTGAGTAAAACCATAAAGAGTGCCTTGATAAACATATGAAAACGAGTCTACAGCTTTCATATTTAACTGACTACAAGAATCTTCTTTCACATTTTTTAGTCTTGAGAAAAATAAAGGAGATTAATAAAAAAAGACCGTATCATCCACTTCACATTGCTGTGACTTACTATTCGGTTTAATGAAAGGCCAGTTACATAACTCGGAGCTTCCATCTGGGTTTAACATGCATCTCACTCAACTCACATCACTGCTTCCTTATCATCTTCTGTCTGTCCAGAGTCCCTGTAAACAGTGTGTAGCTTCATCTCGTGTGTCTCTGTGTCTGTCCCTAACACTGGTTGTGTCTGTCTCTCTTCTTTTAGATGTCTGTCTCTTTCTTTCTCAGTGGATGTGCGTGTCTACTTCCACTTACCCCCATATCCCCCGCAGTGTGATGGAGTGGCCATTCCCCTACCCAGCCTGCAAGGAATTGCTGTACTGAACATTCCCAGTTACGCTGGCGGAACAAACTTCTGGGGAGGCAACAAAGAAGATGATGTAAGTTTCTTGTGATTTAGTGTCAATGTGAAGTGTACTCTTCTTGTATAACTATTATAAATACTTTATTCCCCGCTTAACTTCAGACATTTGCTGCGCCTTCCTTTGATGATAAGATCTTGGAGGTGGTTGCTGTATTTGGCAGTATGCAGATGGCTGTGTCCAGGGTCATCAAGCTACAACATCACCGGATTGCTCAGGTAACTCTTAACTGACTATACTATTACTGTACTATAGGGTAAATGCTAGTTGTATGCAGAAAGATATATTTTGTACAGTACCCCCCCCCCCATATATTTTTTTAACTTACCCCATATATATTTTTACATTTCATTTTAGTCAGCTAAACACATATAGTATGGATATATATTTCACATTTACCATATGAAGTATTTCATAGTTACCTTATTGTGGTACTCCGCAGTCTCAGCTGGTGTGCTGTAGGGGGTAAGTGTTTTTCCCCATAGTTCTCTTTAGGGTTACGGGAGGACATATACTAATCTCCTCCCATGACCCAAAGCTCAGTGTAATACTGAGATCGCCCCACCCGGGACGGATCCCGACAATACTTTTGAGATCCAATCAGCTGCGTGAGTAACAGCTGGCTCTGCCTATCTAGAGGTAGAGCCAGCTGTGCCCGCCCCCTCCCCTTTTCGTTTCTCCATTCGGCGCTGGAGGATCGGAGAGGGGAGGAGGTAATCCTTGCGGGGAGCAGTGACAGACAGTCACCGGTCACTGCAGGGAGACGATCAGGAAGTGAGCCGATCGGTGCACGTTTCTGCTCACTTCCAGATCAATAGAGCTGACCTGTGACAGCTTCTTTGTCACAGGTCGGCTCTAACTATGAGGATGAGTGGAAATCACTCACCTCATAGTCCTCCTTTAATTAGTAGTATCTGTATACAGAAACACACAGCTAAATGAGTTGGAGTAGAGATGGTGCAGTCAGGAAATGGAAAGCTAATGCTGGGCTTTCTGATTAGACTTTCTAGTATGTACTGTGCACACTGAAGTACCAATGCACTTTGTATCAAATGTTTGCAAAATGAAGATTTTATATCAACTATATAAACGTAACAAAATATTTATATAATTGCTATATAATTTAAATAAAAATGACATTGACAAAAATGCATTTTAATTACCCTTTTCCATGCAGGGTAAAGCAACTGGAAAAACATGTTAGAGATCAGCCTGATGTAAATTAAAAATGTGTAATAATGTAATAGAAAAATACTTCTTACTTCTTTTTTTGACTACGCAATTGTTGTACTTCACTGCTCCTTTTCATAATGCAAATCTGTCAATTGGCCTAGCAGTAGTAAATAGTCACATAGTTACATAGTTACATAGTATTTGAGGTTGAATAAAGACATTAGTCCATCAAGTCCAACCTAATACAACTTGATTTGTTCTGTAATGTTGAAAATGTGTCATAGCTTATCCAAGCAAGTTCTAATGAGTGATAGGTTGCACACCGCTAGCTTCGCTGAAAAGTTTATTGTAGCACAAAGGGTACACATCGTCCTACCATGGATCATCTTCAATCTGACATATATTTCACCCAATAATGGGCATTAGTCATAAGTGAAGAGGACCCACGGTGGGACGATGTGTGTTGGGCAGTGTGCGGTGTGCTACAATAAACGTTTCAGCGAAGCTAGCTGAATGAAAGGATTACCACCTATTATCAGGTGCGTCCGCGGGCGAGCAGCACAGAGGGAACCCGCTGGCAGGAAGCAGCCGGAAGGGTCCGAAGGCAAGGTAACAAGGGGGCAATCCAAAGAGGTAGTCGAGGGTAATCCGAGGTCGAGGCAGGCAGCAGAGGGTCAGAAACGATAGGCGGTCCAAGGTCGGTACACGGGAGGTCAGCAGAGGGTACAGGAAACAGGCAACAAGGCACATAGGAGGGGAGCTTTGTATGTCACACCATAAGGTGGAATAACTCAGCAATAAGCCAGAGCTCAGGCCAGGTTTTTATAGCCAGGGGAGTTAGGACTACCCCCGGTCACCGAGGCAACCAGGAGGCTTCCTTCCTCGGGAGCCAATGGTAGGCGAGAGAGATGGAAGGTGTGTACAGGGAACCTCCCCCAGCAAGGCTCACACCTGATGCCTAATGGCGCAGGAGTGCTACACACGTGCCCCCGGGGATGCGCGCGCAGCCTGCGTACCGCGCATGCGCACCCTCCGTGCGACTCGCGCATGCGTACCCGCAACCCGGGCACCAGGAGTTCTGCCAAGCTAAGGGGGAAACCCGTGCCCTGCGCCGTGCCCGTGGCCCCCGAGCAGGGGCAACACCCCCTGCTTCCTGACACCTATGCAGACTCCCTGACACTGAGTGTGGAATTATGTAACTAGAAGAGGATTTTCACACCTCCCATCCTATTCCTGTACAATCCAAATCCGCACATTCCGTGGTGATTGTATTAAGGTGTATGTGCTATCTGTATGGATGTAAATGTGTGTTTCTATCACTCATTAGAACTGAAGAAGTGGCTTGGATGAACCGTAAAATGTTTTCAACATTACAGAACAAGTCCAGTTGAATGTGGCTAACTTCTACTAGCTATACCAGATGTGGATAAATGAGAACCTTCACAAACATATTACCTGGTCCACTTGAAAACAATTCTCTTCATATGCAGCTGGTAATTTAGAGGGAGAGTAACTGTAACCTAGTGCTACTACAAGAGCTCCCTCTCGTGGCTAATCTTCAAAACTCTTTATTTAATAGAATAACAATCATTATGCATTATTACAAACTAATATTTTATGTTAACCTTGCATCAAACTTACCAAAAAAATGTAATACAATACATAAGACATGAACAAATCAGTTATATAACATATATGAGAAATAAGCAGCCTCAGAAATAGGAAACAAAAATGTCAGTGACAAATTAGAAAACCCTTTTTCCGATATAAGACGGTGTCAGTTTTTGAATTTGGGTCTATAATGAATTTAAAACGGAAAAGTCCAGATGGCTTCTGCTGAAGAAATACCAGGGAGGTTTTTTGATATAACTCTGTACATAGTCAGCCATGTGTTAGGTGTCAATGTCAGACCACAGAAATAAGTGTGAACAGATGGAAGCTTTTCTGACACACACACAGCTTTCAAAGGACTGTAGACAAGGGAAAAGCTTATATTAGCAAGGTGGCTTGATTTTGCCAGGCTATAACAATACCAGCCTGTATAGGAAATACCTTTAAGAAAATATAAAATTGGAAACGAATAAAAATGTAAAAGACACATAAAATATTCCTTTTCGACAGACTTTAAAACAACAACCTGAATCTTGTACATGTTGGGAATTAACTCTAGCTTGATATTATATATTACTTTTCTGATTTTAATTTCCTGTAGTGCCGAACGGTGAAAATCACAGTGCTCGGTGATGAAGGGGTCCCTGTGCAAGTGGATGGAGAGGCTTGGATCCAACCACCAGGTTATATCCGTATAGTACACAAGAACAGGACACAGACCCTCACCCGAGACAGGGTAATGTTATCAGTGTCTTTGGATATTACAACAGTGGCAGCGGACAAACGGTTTGCTGCTATGGTATTTTTTTCCTGAATATAGAAAGGTTATTCATACGCCTAAACACATACAGGCCTCAGGACTGTAGAAAGACGTAAAAGGATAGTTTCAGTCACCTTTGCTTTAGGTAAAGTTAAAAAAGGAAATGTAGAAGCTGGTTACTAGGGTCAGCACAGGGTCACTTGTATACAAAGGCAGACCCGCTGAAAGAAAATTGAATATACTTAAAGAGGAAGTTTACCCATATCTTTGAAATGACAACAAATACACCTTTAGAAATGTTTAGTAATGGCAATGTACAAACAGATGCTTATAGATAATTGTAGGCTTTTTATACTTTGCTTGCCTTAGATTTATTTTCCTCCCCATTCTTCTCACAGTGGCTATTTTTTACTGAGGGCAGATTAATATATCTCCCTTCTTGGAACTCTGGCACACGAGACCATGCACATCATCTCAGGGGAGAGAAATGCATTTCCCTGAGATCTCCTGAGATTACAGATGAGATTTCCCAGCATTGCTCTGCTGATGCACGGCTTGGGCACACTAGATTATTAATGCTCAAGAGAACCAGGAAGTGGAAAAACAGTAGTTGTAAGTAAAAGAAGAATATTTTTTTATTTAAATAATGAATGTAAGATGATTTCATATCAGCATGCAGAGCTGTATGCTTATTTGGTTTTTAGTGAAAGGGGATAAAGACCTGCTTTAAATTTCCAGAAGCCTCTATCTTGTATTGCTGCTGCATTTTGACATAGGGCATAGGAGCTGGCAGGAGGAACCACAGCTTTTGTCAGGGAAAACAAGTATTTCACCATCCCAGAGAGTGGAATACTTGCAGTGGTTGGGGATCAGTGAAGCAGTGGTGTTTCAGGAAATGGGACAACCAGAAGGGTAAGTATATTCACTTTTTCTTTTACAGGTATGCTTTTGTATACAAGTGATCTTATGCTACCATGTATAAAGTGCAGATACCTTATGGGTGCCTGCAGATACCTGCCTATAGTGGGACATTCTAATCATTTTATATCTTTTCTTAGGCCTTTGAAAGCACCTTAAAATCCTGGAAAGATAAGCAGAAATGTGATTTGTCAAGACAAGCCACCTCCAATCTCTCTCCTACATCTTTACACCCCGAAGTGCTCTCTGATGAGGAGGCAGCACAGGTGTCACGGTTTGGACAGGCTGCCGGTGCCCTCATTCACTGGTGAGACTTTGCTAGAAGCATGTGAACATTTTCTTTGATTCTTAGCAGTCTGGAAGTACTTTCTTATTGTCGTACACAATGACAAAACATGTATTGCTTTAAAACAATGCAATCCATTTAATGACATATATATAATATGATATATGCCGCGTACAGAACTTGCTTTTTCTTATGTGCATGGCCATTTTAAAAACTATATTTACTTGTACACCAAGATCTATGTGGCAGGCAGTGTGGGCAGGGTGTTGGGTACCATCTAATACTTTATGGTGTCTACTACTCTGGGTACAGTTAATCAGATTTGTACAGTATGTTCATTTATACGGTGCAATACATATATCTACATGCATGCTGTATTATGTGCATTAAAATATAAATACAGACCTTTATTCCAGAGTTGTTTTAATATTTAAATGTTTATTACTGAAAAGGTAAAAAGAACTGCAATGTTTATATATTGTGTGTATATTTATATATTTTTCAATTGTGTTTGCAGCATTAAAGAAATAGCGGTTTCTCATCAAAGCATAGAGCAAGAGCTGGCTCATGCTGTCAATGCAAGCTCAAAGTCTATGGAGAAAGTGTACAACAAGAACTCAGAGGTAATGTCTGTTATGTCTTTATATATGCTTTATAATGGAGGCTAGTTTTGAAAATCAGCGTCCTAGTGACCATTCAAATGTAAATTAGATGGTGCTGATCCAATTACTATTGAAGGGAGAAAAAAAAAATATAGTCCCAGGGGTAGCCACCGCACTCTTTGTAAGGTAAGTGCCCAAGTGCTCATCCACAAAAATATCCATACAAATCCAGTAGCTATAGAGGCAATTACGGGTTTTGGAGTGGATATAAGTCAAAGCATTAGCATTTTATTGTCAATGTTTTGACGGAGCTCAGTCTGTTTTTATCAAGACAGTAAAACAGTGTGTTTGCTGTCACACAGTGCAAGACACTTGAATTATGATGTAAAGATAATCAGGTGTGTGTGTTTTTATATATATATATATATTTATTACTATTATTATTATTTTTTTGTCATTTGCCATTCTGACTGGTACCCTTAAATCTATCACGTTAGAGACTCTTACTCTTCGGTCACACTTCGTGTCTGAGGCAAGCATTCCGAATCGGGTTGTCTCCTGTTATCTAACCCGGTACTGCATACTGTATGTCATATTGTAGATAATTATGTAACAATTCTTAACGTTAATCGTATTGTCACAGGGTTCTAGCTGCAGTGATGTTATGGAAATGGTAACAAATGTCCGAGCATTATTGAATGAGACAGAGCTGCTACTGAAGGGGAGAATGGCATTGGTGAGTAAAGAGAAATGCATAATGTCCCACCATACTAACATTTCTGTTGAAGCGGATGGTATGTTAATTACATTTACATTTTCCTTAGCGTTAATAGTTTTGCTAATGTGTCTACTAAACTGCAATTCATGTATGTACTGTAAAGCATCTTCTTTTATGACAGCATTTTCCATGAACAAAGACCTGCCAATCACTCATGAGTAGAAATGTACAAAATTAGGAAATATTTTAAAATCTCTTGATCCTGCATTTCAGCTCCTGGATCCCCCTCAGAAAGAGCAGCTGACAGAGTCACTCAGTAACACAGAGCAAGAGCTGCGGAACCTGGCAGATGTCCCATGGCTATCTCAGAGTGTTGAGCCTACAGAAGATGAGGTGAGAGTTAATGATATCTGCTCTGTCCCATATTCCAGCCTCTTTCTCAATAAAAGTCTGTATTGAGACGAGAGAGCAAGTGTACCTCTAGCCAAACTATCTCTCTCATTAGAGAGATTTTCCCTCACTTCCTATTTAGGTGACAATGTTGTCACCAGGACAGGAAGTGCAGGAATATCCCCTAGCTAGCAAAAAAGAAAATTAAAACAGGGTTCTAACCATTTTCTACTCTATCCAAAACATAAAAAAGTTCTGACTAGAGAAACTTTTTAATACATTGCAGTCAAAACTAAAAACTAAATGTTAAAGTAAAAGGTTAAGCTGTTCATTTTCCATCCAGAGAGTCCTGTGTTGAACCTGTCTACCCACTGTCTTTAGTTTGCAATCTAGTGATCCTGGAAAACAGCTGCTGATGATAATGGAACTCTCTTCTGGTACTAAAACATTTCTAAGAGCCACTAATGAGATTCCAATTTGCTTTGTATGTTTGATGAGTGAGTATTGATACAGGAAGCCAAAAAACAGAGGCGTTCCTGTTGACCCTGTGTTAGAGGTGTATGCTTATTTTTCAGGGCATTACACATTAGCATTGGTATCTCATTGAATGCTTTATCTTGCTATCTAAATTGGCCTATTTACATAAACAAATCATCCAGAACCTTAAAGCTGACAGTGGGGTTCCCCCATTTGCAAAGGCTAAATGCTTGTTTTAGTAAGGTATCGGGGAAGAATAACTTTTTACTTGCGTAACTCCTCGCTCCAGCAGGCTCCACCTTTCATGCAAGTGGTCCCCGAAGCCTCTTCTTTTTCCCTCTCTGGCCAGCCACCACAGGTGAGACATCACCATGTACAATGCAGGACAAAAAGTCCTGCATTGTAAGTGAGAACACAGAGGGCTAGCCTACAACTCAGAGCATCAGAGTAAAGAGGTGGCTGGGTAGTGAGGAATAAGGTAAGTAAAAGTTATTTTTTTCTATCGTTTATTGAGGGACACAGCTCTGAAGAATTCTGAGAAGTAGGTCTATGCTGCTGCCTCTAGGAAAAATGGGCACTTGGCAAAAAAATTAAAAGCCTGCCACTTTAAGGTCATAACCCTTCCCAGCTTACACCTACCAGTTTTGCTTAGTGTCCTCAGAAGGATGGATGTGTCCTTCTCTTCTGCTTTATTATCTTAGTTTATTTTATAGGGCCAATAATGAGGGTTTTATATTTATAGGGCCAATATTTACAGATATCTCTAAACTGATGACCTGTGCCTGATGGGATGCCATATTTTGTCTCCATTTCACGGACGCACACAATTTTTAACATGGGCATGTTGGATATCTGTTTACTTGTGATAACCTCAGCTTTTATATTTTACAAAAACAATGGGTAATATATTGTGGGGCACTAAAATAAAGTTAAGTACATTTTTTTTAAACACAATTTTGGGGTTTAATAACGTGGATTACAACGTGTGCAAAATATGCAAAAAAAGGCCCTGGCAGCGAAAGGGTTAAAACATTGTGTCATGCTTCCTAATTCAGCATTCAGGAACTGGCTTAGGGAAGAAGCTCATTTTTTTTTAGTTTTATTCATGGTGTAAATATAGAAATTCGTTTTTTTTTTTGTCATTTATTTGTAGGTTTATAACGTCATCAACTAAGTTTATACACAGTTCAGAATGTATAACCGATATGAGCATAGCACATGACCTTGTAACTATTAAATGCAGAAAAATGTTCTGAAGAATCTTTCATGACAGCGTTTTCTTCTGTTAAACATTGTGCATCCATTGGTCTCGTCAGATTATACTTTCAGCACCTGACAGCAAAAAATATTTTGGGTGTATTGGTTCCTGGCATGCCGGATCTGCGTAGCATTTCATGTGGATACTCCGTGATCCTTATCTTTACAGATGTGCTGTTGTTTGTGTACAGGGCGCTCTGGATTTCTCCAAGTTAAGACGTAGCAGTCGGTTTAATCTGGTCAACAAATTCAAAAAGGAGAAGAATACCAAGAACAAAGAGACCCGGAGCAGCACCGGGCCACCTGGTAAATGACGCCATTTAGCTATGCAGCTAGAGGAGAGTTTACAAGCAGGCAGAGGCAGACAGACTGTGCCATATGCCTTGAATCAAGAGTCTACAGCATTCGTGGTGTCTGTATTGGAGAAATGCACGTGTACATACTCAAGAGTTTTATACAAACATTGTACATAGAAGGCTGATACATTACATCACATATAAATGTAACAGGTGCTTATTTAAATGTAAAACCATATGAGAGAATACAAAAGAAAAGCATAAACTAATAACTTGGCCTGATTTAGGAAACCACAAAGGCAAGATGTAGCATTACAAACAACCAACAAGATTTCAGATGTAATTGTTACACATTTAACAGTTAAAAAACCGAGGGGAGGGTGAGGTTTATCCTTAAGGTGCCTGTAGACATAGTATCAATAGGATCAATTAGAGTTGAGTCGGATAATAATTGTATGTTTGTGGGCATTTCCAGGACCTCTCCTGGTTGACCCCTGTTGATGGAGGGGGAATTGATTGGCTGGGTTGGATTAATGTGGAAGATTGCTAATATTTATACATGAGATAAGTCTACTTCAGGAATGTCTTTCTGCTCTCCCTTATTCTTGGGGAATAAACAGGTATGCTTGGACAAGCCATGCATTTCTGTAGAATTAGATTTTGGTATGAAGATTTTTTGTCAGTTGGACAGTCTCTGGACAGAACCCTGTGGCTTTTAGTTGATATACCTTTGGTCAGAAATGCTGCTTTGGTCAGCTTTTAGCGTAGTTTTATCAGAAAGTCCCCAGTCTATGAATTATGCAGGAGATTGTTGAAAATTATGTTTGAAATTGTCAGTCTGAAGAGATTAAAACTGCAAGATTTAAAACACTCCAGGATGCCTTAATACCGTTAAAGCTTCGTAAGCATTGTGACCATTTTGAGCACCACTTGTGATGGCCAGGCAATGCAAAACTTCTATAGGAGGCGATAACAGGTGCTGGGAGTGCTCATTAATGGGAATAGAATGCTGTTGGTAAATCATTGTATGAAGGGTGCAGGTTGTTCATTTTTCTGTGAGCAGAAGGAAATGAGACTTTATTATACATGCACCCCCAATTTAATCATGAATGGAGGATCCCATCAACATGATAAAGCAGTAGAAGATGAGTTGTTGTCTCACAGCCATCAGTCTAAAGGTGCCCATACACTGTACGATTCTCGTACGAGAATCGCGGGAAATCCCGCGATCGTACGAGAATCGTACAGTGTATGGAAGGCGTGCGACCGTTTCTACTGTACGGTCGCACATCTTCCATCGAACAAGCAGGCTGGAAAACCCGCCGGAAATCGTATGATTCTCGGCGAGTGAGTGGCCTGCTGGTTCGACAACTAACGAACGGGCCGGTGTGCGCACGCGCACACTGCCCGTTTGCCGTCCTTGCAAGCCCGCCCCTCATTGCAGTCATCGCAAGCCAGCCCCTCAAGGGGGCGGGCTTGCGATGATCGCAAGTACAATCTGCCTGTCCAAGATGGGCAGATCGTACGTTTTTTTAAGTACTTTACAACCATTGCAAGACTAAGGTCTTGCGATGGTTGTAAAGTGTATGGCCACCTTTAGAGAGACATCTGTTCAGCTATGGGCAGTCCTAAAACCTCTTCTTCATGGATCCCCAACAGACAGAGTATTGAGTTATCTTGTAAATTGTGATGTGAATCTCTTCAGATGAGAGACCTTATCATTACAATTTGCAGGATCTTCTTTCTGTGGAGAACATGGGGCAGCACTCTGGTGCTATGTACCCCCATACTCTGCTGCATGTGAATTTTAAATACTGAGTGAAAGTTAACTGTTACATTGTTACAAGAAAAACTGTAACTGATTAAATGAACATTTTTCATGAGTCTCAAAGAGTTTAACAATTACGAATTGACTGTTACAGTCCTGTAATAGGAGCTAATAGCCAGTCAAGGACACATTCTAAGCCAAACCAGCTCCAAGTTTATCAGTTTTGTTTACAACATGCCTTTGTTGTAGGGATCCAAAACTGCTGCCTATATTGTTCCTTCTAGAAATATCTAAGTATTGTTATTTCTATAGAGTTGATCAGTCGTACAAGTCTAATTTCTTGAAGCTTTTAACTTTTGTTTACCTGTAGCTGAAAACTGTAAAGATATTGAAAGGTGTTATTGCTGCCCTAATGCTCACAAAGAAATGATAAAAATGTCTTTGTGTCTCTGAAAATCAGTGTGGTACAGTCAGATCGATTCTATTCTGTCTGTCATTCCTGTTATATAATTGGTGCCTCTGCTCTGGACTGTGGGTGATCTTTGCCTTGGGAAGTGGTGTCTCTATGCTTTGGGGTTTGGTTTCTTATATGGGTGTCTTTCTGGCAGCTCATCTTTGGGGAACGGAAGAGGTTTCTCTTTGGTTGGAGCGTCTTAGTCTGTCTGAGTACAAGGAGGTCTTTACTCGCCATGACATCCGAGGCTGTGAGCTCCTCCACCTAGAGCGCCGAGACCTCAAGGTATCTCTCACAGATGTCTCTGCTCTGACTTATCTTATGCACCCTGTATTTATGCCTAATGCCCATCCCTTGTTCTGTATCCATTCATTGTCTTTTGTGCTTGTCTCTAACCAATCATTGCATGCCATATCTGTCTAATGCATATGTTCTTCTGTTATAGCCTTCATGCAATACTATCCACCCAGCAGTCTTTACCAGCAAATCATATATTACAGGCCCTGTAGTGTTATCTCCTGTGTAGCTTGTATTCTGTCCTACTATATCCGATACGGCCAGCTACTTCATACCCAGTTGTCTTTACTGTCATATATTACATGGACCATATTACAAACATACCCATATCCAAATAGATTTCTTTACCTGTATTCAATACAGTATGTCCTAAAGATTAACTCAAGGCAGATATAAAAACAGCGTTTTACTCCAGTTATGGATTCCTTAAAGAAAATCTATGGACCCATGCTTATGTAGACTGAACCCGGATTGTACAACTTTAGATTTACTAAGAATGATGTAGTGGAAGGAAAATAAGTGTCTACATTATTGGATACAAAGTAAATGGATTGTGTAGATAAACCCTCATAGGACATAGTTGCTGGAATAGTTAAACAGATTGTGCATTTCAGTTGCAACATGTATGGGAGCTTTTTACGGTTGGCTTTTCCACATCTAGAACTTTGCACAATATTAAAAATGTCCTATGCGGCAAGCATCTTTCTATCTGGATTACTATAACCTGCAGCTATCCATAACTGCCAGCATTTGTTATCAAATACCTATATACTATATTCCACAATAATGTGCCCTGAACCACAAACATCCCAACCCCCCTTCCCTACCTGTACCAAATCTCTGTATAAGCTGCATCCAGCCATAATATACCCTAAATGACCAACATCTCCTTCCCCAAATCTGTGTTTACACTGCATCCATCCATAGCATATCCTATATGTTCAACATAGTCTTCCCCAACTGTCTATATATATTGCATCCATAATATACTCTGTGCTGCCAACACGTGTTGCATGTGTTTCAGCTTTGATTTCTCATCCATTATTGGACTTGTTTCATACAAACCAATGTTTTATCTTTCTTAATCAAACTGTAATGGCGTTTGTCAGCTTCATTTTCTTTGTTTATATTGTGTTGGTTTTTTTTTTGTAATGTTTACAAGCTTTTAACTGTTGGATTTAATGTTTTTTATTGTTTTACAAAAGCTTTTTTCTTTTTACAAATGAACATTCAATACAGGGTACACCCAGGACATGGCTTTTGCAGAGCATTCTGGACTTTCAAAAGAGAGAGCCCAGCAGTAGCTGCTTCCTATGTGACTGTCACTGCCTAAAAGAATATCAATGAACAGAGCAGACAGGGTTGGGGAGTAGTGATGAGTCTTTCCTTTGAATCATTCAGCTGTGTGGTTTTTTTTTTTACCCTCAAAATTGGATAAGGTTAGCATTGTAAACAAGCCTAACTATTAACATATTTGGCTGCAAATAGTAAATCTGAACTATTCATAGGCAGTTTATAAAAATGTGCTAAATATTTTTATAAATGTTATACACAAAAACACTATACATTACCTTTCAATGTATAAGATGGTTAATCTGTGCACTTGAATTTTCAGGTACAATGGTAGTATACATGAGAGGTGGTTCTTTTCTTGTCATCCCTCTTCAGAACAATTGCAAACTTAAATCTAAACAGAGAATTGCCCTTCTCAAGTCCAGGCTAATGAAGCCAACGCCTTTTACACTGTGTTCTAAATGTGTCTAAGGCTGGTCAAAATGCATTTCATTGCTTTAGCAGCTTAGGTCTTCTACCAACCCACTTCTGCAGTTTAGTTTTATTCTTGCCTAGTCCAGAGGCCCCTCCGTCCCAACATGGGCTCCTACTAGAAAGCAGAGTCTATGATAATCATATCTGTTTAACTAAACACATCTTTGGACACATTAATAGGAAGAACAGTAGACAGCCCATAGGCTTAGCTAGTGCAATGGCAGTGGAATTACCGTAAAAGAGAAGCCCATCTTTTTTTGGTTATAACTATTTTTTGTCACCGGAGTACATTTACTAATGTACTCCTGTGACCCAAAGGCAGCCGATAGAGGATTAATGCCCACTATCGGCTGATAGGGCAGAGCTGTGCCATGATTGGGAGGAGTCCAACAATATTGTCGGGATCCACCCTGGCTGCCTAAAGGACAACTAGCTCTGCCTCTCTGTGCACGACATAGAGCCAGCTACGTCCACCCTCTCCCCGGCCTGTAGCTCCAGCTAACATTTTGAAGAGCAGAGAGTGGAGATTGGTATCCTTATGGGGGCAGTGACTGAGAGCTGAATAATCAGTGACGGGATTGGTTAGCTCTCGGTCTTAGAGCCAGGTTTTTAAATTAGATGCACTTTGATTTTAAAACACATCAAGGCACAGTAAAATATTTGCAATATTATACAAGTATTAATGCTTAAATGTAGGTAATTGCTTACAGCATTTGAAATAATTGGCTTGTCTGTGCTTTGATTCTCCTAACTTGACTGTCTGCAGTGTGGCCTCTTATCAAGGATTTTGACTACAAAGTATAGGCAATGGCTTCTTTTTTTGTTTGATCTGCAGGAGTTGGGTGTGACAAAAGTGGGCCACATGAAGAGAATCCTCCACGGCATCCGGGAGTTGAGCCCCCCTCCTGTCAGTGCGGATTAGGATCTGTCTTCACATCCTGTGTGGCCCAGTCTGGGTGACCAGTGGTGCTTCTTTACAGCACATGCCATTTCTAGGTTTTACTGCAGCATAGCGCTTTCTAAGAACAGCTAATCTCAGCACTGCGTCATGGTGAGCAGTAATATAGAGGCCTTTGTTTTAGTTGGCATTCTATCAAATGTGCCCCTAGACAGCAGCCAATCGCAATTATGCCCTGGGGATTCTGTAGCCAACCACAGAAAATACGTGTCCAGGGTATAAATGGCTCAAGGGCTTTAGTGAGCTTTTGCCTACATAAGACGTGCTGGATGCTATGAAAGGCAGTTCTTTTTTTTTATAAATACCACAAAAGCCAATGGTGACTGAAGTAATTTTATTTCCATGTACAGTATATGCTACCTCGTGTGGCTTGGGACAGACACTGTGCTGTTAGTGGAACGTCAGCAGAGTAAAAACAATCAACATTTTTGGAGCAAATGCTCATCCTCTGTACTCTGTCCTTTGCCTATACACCTGAAGATGTAGGTAATTGATTTTGGCCTGTAACCATATCCTCACCAATGTATTGAACTTGTAAGATGACTGTGGAGTTTTGTAGTTTGTGTTAATATGAATGCTGTTTTCTCAGGCTCTGTGTAAATCGTATGGTGTGCAAATGGCATCCCGGATGTGGTGTACAAATAATTTTATTAGTTGTTGCTTTGGACTTTTGTAAATTCCAGCTGTGAGTTGAGAATATTGCAACAGCCCACTCTGGTCTATGATCAAAAGATTGTTTACATTTCTCTAGGTACATTTATATAGCAGGAAACAACCTCTGCTCTGTTATTTGCTGTCCATTGATGACAGTGACAGCTTTGTCCGGAAGATACAATGAAGGACCGTTTCCTGAAACTGTGTTTGGTTTGTGGTTGGAGGAGTCTGCATCCATTGCTCGTTTTCTTCAGCCACTGTTACCTTGTTAATCCCGGGCAGGTCCCTTCCCTTTGCTTACCTTTATCCGTGAGGGACACATGAAACAACTCTGAGATCCTCAGGTAAAGGCTGACAATCCCTCCCCTGGTGTATTTATTGTCCCGTGCCTTACTGCAGTCCCTGTGCCTTTTTAAAAGTGATGTTAATGCCTGTAAATAGCAGTGTTGTAAAATATGGCTTCTGTTCTAACAGTAAAATATGTCTTAATAATGATGCCTGTCTGGTTTATTGACTCTCTTTTTATATAGTGTTCCTTTAACTGTATATATGAAATGTAACACAGTAGTGAATACACACTAGTAACCTGAAGATATGTAAAATGCCCTATACATTATCTCCTTGTATTCCATTAGCTGTGGTGCTAAATGTTTTGGAAAACCTATTTGGAAGTATATGTGTAGAATAGAACATGTTCAGAAAGGGGAGGAGGTCTTCAGAGAAAAATTGGGGGTTTGGATTCTCACACTGGGACTTCTCAGGTAAATGTAGCTTTACATGGAGGTTGCCGCATCAATACCAGCCAACATTAATATTACTTTAAAAGTGTGTGCAGTTGTGTAAAGCAGCATTAAATATATGTAAACACAATCACAACAATCTCTTTTCTGTCATTTACAAATTCACTTTCAACATTTTTACATCAGCAGATTTCATTAAGAAATACCTGGCGATCCTGCCATGAAGGTCCTTGTTTAGGAACTTCTTGTTACAAGGTCGCTCTGTGATGAATTTACATGTAATCCGGCACTTGTATATTATTTCTATGGAGGGAGGTGGGCGGGAGCATTACTGAGCACCAGCCTTTCCTAGGAGTCCAATGATGGGTGGAGGTAGAGCAGGTACACAATTTTTTTTATTTGACAATACTCTGCCCCCATCTCCCACTTGTGATCTTGCATTGTCATCCTCTCACAGGAGCTATCTTGGCTACTTCAAGTGGCCATTTCAACACACATAATAAAAACCTAAGAAATATCTTCCAATAAGTGCCACAAGAGGAGGGGAGGGGGGGAGCTTTTAAGCCAACAAATCAGACCTTTTTACCTAAAATACAACTTTAATTAGTACCTATTTATAAAAACATATTTCATTAAAAAAATAATTCTTATATGCTTAGATAAAACAGATTCACAGCAGCTGGTTTGTATTTGCATTTAAGTCTTGTATCCATTCATAATATCCAAATACATGTATCATGTATATTGCTGAACTCCTCGATGGATTTTGCCAACTGTGGCTTTTTCAGGAGGAAGGATACAGGAGAAGTAAACCAGCTTATTGTTTTCCAACTATAGAGAAAGAGGAGACATGGAGTCCTGGACATCAGCTTCCCCCCCAGGGGGACTGCTGGAGAGGGAGCAAATAGGGAAGAGACCAGTGATGTCTAAATAAGCTGGTTTACTTCTGCTGTATCCACCCTCCTGAAGAAGCCACAGTTGGCAAAACGCATCAAGGAGTTTAGCAATACTCGCTCCCGTGGTGTACTGTAATGTCAATACAAATTTGTAAACTAAATGTGAGAATGTACTCAATCACAGGAGCGAGCTTGGAGCGGTGACTACTTTACACAACACAGGGACCATGGGGAACAAAAGTAGTCACCCTCCAGAAGGAAGGACAGTGTCAGCACCAATTCAGAGATGATTTGAGGGTCTACAGACGAGTGATACACAAATAAGATACATTTATGTTAATAGTTCAGGTACTTCAATGTATTTTTAAGATTTAACTCCCAAGTTTAGTGTCACTTTAAGGTGAACCTGTAGTTTGAGCAGCCAGCAATATTTACCAGAACAGATACATTATTTTATTTTAGCATTGCTTTTCCTTTTCACGTGTTCCTTTCCTGAGCTTTCGTTTTGCAGTCTGCTCACTAAGAACAAGATATATCCTGATGTTTCAGGATATGCAAACCATTGCCACTGCTGCTGAAGAATTGGCCAGCAACCACAATCCTTCCTGTTCACCAGCTTTTCAGCTTTGACGAGCTGTATATCAAATATGTGCTGAAACAAAATTCACGAGCAAGATAGAGAACCAGGAGGCTTTATTGAATTTGGCACATTGCACAAGAAGAAAAGCATTGACGCGTAGTCATAAGGCTAACAAATCCATACTACATGTAATGGATGACAGGGACGGCCGTGAGACGTTTGCAGGCTCTCTTATTTATATATAGTGTTATATAGACATTCTGATTATAGCAAGCATCTAAGGAAAATGTAATCGCTTAAATCATTTGCTGAAACAAATGTTTTTTCTTTTGGTAACACATTACTTACAACTTTGGGGGGACCTCTATGTGGGCTACATTTTCACCTGCTTTGGCTAAGTGATATATGGTTTTTAAGAGCAAAAATCCTTATCATAATGGTATATGGAATATTATATAGTATGGTTTGCTTTTTATAGTTAACAGGGATTATTTAAACACTAATTAATTCAATTTGCAATTCACTGATCAGTACAGAAAACATAATACAATTCTTGGATGTTAATTTGTAGGGTGATTCATCTTGTAACCCAGCGGAGATTTAGGAAAGATACTCCAGGAAACACTTCACTACATGACACATTACCAAAAACATATATGTGAGACAATTTGTCCAATTGAAATGCAATTGCTCCAATATAGGCTTTTTTTTTTAAAGACTATATGTAGACCTCTGTCTTGAGAATAGTGGTGCTCGCAGTGGTTACATAGATGGCGCCCTGTGAAACTTTCAAATGTTACATGCGAGTCACTATGTCGCCCTGAAGAAAGGACCTTGCGTGGCCTCAAAACATTGGCTTATATGACGCATGTGATATATGTTTACCCTATGAGTACCCCTTAGTGTTTTATAGTGTTTTATATATGATGGAATATTGAGCTATAAGATGATTCTTGTTGGTGAAAACCTGGGAAATTGTGAATGGTCCTTGATCCTGTTTGGAGAAGAAAGTGGAGTGTTTTGTCTTCTCGGCTCTTGGAGAAAAGGTCTGTGACACAAGAGGAATGATTGCTATATCTAGACGCCGAGTGACCTGGACATTTACATTCCATACGGTGAGTGCATGGGTACAATGGACACATAAAGTGGACATAAGCATTGTATGAAGGACACTTTTTGTGGATTTAAGCACCATATGAAAGACTATTTACACTTTTTTTTTTTTGTTCAATACATTTTTATTGGCATATAAAGATGTAGAAAATACAAACATTGCAGGCTCTACCAGAACAGATGGTAGGACACGCGCCTCAGACAATCAATGCGGTTAACACAAGATTATTACTAAGATTGAATACGTTATGAACATTCCAGCGTACAATTGTGGTAGAGTGCGTCAGAGTGTTATTTCCCATCGGCTGGCAGAGACATGGTTCAGTCCAACGGGACCGACCAATAGTAACCAGGATTTTTACAGAGAGTTAGCGTGAAAGTAGAAGTATAGCGGTAGATTGTTGCTTTAGAAGGGGCTGCTACACAGCCCTAGCAGCAGCAGAAGGATAAGAAAAGAGGGGGAAGAGAGAGGGTGGGAGGTTGGATGGACAGGGCGAGGGAGGGGAGGTTGGGGGAAGTGCACATCTAGGTTGGGTTATTTGGCCTGTGGCAGGCAGTGGTGAGAAATAGGGCGCCTGTTCACACGTCTAATAATGTCCTATCAAAATTCGGTGGGAAGAAATGGGCGACCCATGGTTCCCAAATTCTGTCAAATTTGGAGAACTTGCCAAGTAATTCTATTATTTACACTAATTTTACAAGTAGTTTTGATGCGTTCACTAGACACTGTTGGAGATATAAATGTTTGGTTATTCCTTATATATACTTCTGCTAGTTAATATTACTGAAATGCATTTACTCATTATGGATTAGTATTTGATGTAATACACATCACTTCTGGGTCCAGTGATCGTAGGAAAGATCAGCGGTTGGAAGCTGCTGAATTCTCTCTGATCATTGCGGGGAGACCCAAAGAGCCGGTCCCGGGTGCTGCCCGGGGAAGCAGCAGCCGTGTTCTTGTTTTACCCGCTTCTGCGGGCCGCTGTCTATAGACATATTGCGGCCTGGAAATGGTTAATAAAGCTGAATGCCAGGAATGAAAAATGCTATTTAAATAGATTCCTCAATTTACATCCTCAAGGGATATAAATCCACTGTGTACAATAAATGCCTTTGCAAACTCTGTTATTACTTTGTAAACGTAGCAGTGACATCATCACTGTGGTGTACATAGATTGTGCAGAGAGCAGAGTTGTGGGAGGGACTTGGGGTTGGAGACAAGACCAGTCAGCCACCCTGCACAAGGAGAGAGATAACAGTGATTGGTCTTTATTACAGGAAGCTCCAAGTGTGTGTGTGAGAGCGATAGCGAGAGAGACCCTGAAGCTGCTTGTCATTGATTGAAGTATACCCATGGTCCTTGAGTGGATCTGTTCCCCTTATGACAAGGCTTGCTCACACCCAATGTAAGAACAAGGCAAATCGCCTCATTTCTCAAGGCTTCAAAAGAACACTCCAAGTAATTTTGTCAGTGGAATTTTCTTGTACCCACCCCGATATATGGACTTCGATTGAGCAGATTAAACCTTTCCGGTAAAAAGTGTTTCTCTCCCAGGCGGCCTGGAGAGTTGGGATGTGTACTCACCGGCCCAAGCGGCTCCATCGGGTAACGAAGGGAAGGGGGAGGAGTCCAGTGACGTCACGGACATCGACGTCACCGGACTCCTCCCCCTTCCCTTCGTTAGCTGACAGCCACTTGGGGAAGGGGGGAGGAGTCGGGTGACGTCGATGTCCGTGACGTCACCGGATCTCCGACGGAAGACCCGGAAGCCGGCGGAGAGGTGAGTACGGATCAAAAGAACTTTGATCGATCAAAATAATTTTGATCGATCAAAAAAATAACGATTAATCGAGGGATTAATCGTTAATTTCTGCAGACCTAATATACACTGAGTGGCCAGATTATTATGACCACCCCATTAGTACTTCATTGGGCCACGAGATAACTCCACGAGATGACTTCGTTGGGCCGCCTCGTGACTCCACGAGATGTTGAAAGGTGATGCGAGGAATCTGACACTGCACTGTTGCCCTTCTGTTGTCTTGTACCAGTCTTGCCACTCTCCGTTCTGCCCTAACATTG